ATTCCTTTTTGTGATCAGGACTGACGCCTTTTAAAATATGTATTCCATCGATTAAATACTTTGCATTCTGAAGGAAACAAAATTTCAAGTAATCATTTTATTAACCAAAGAATTTTAAAAATTACCGGTTTTGCAGCTCCTTAAGTGGGTCAAATGTTCAGGAAAGTAATGAAGTGTCTGCCTTGGGCAGCAAGGGGTGATGAATATAAATGAAATCGAAATGTGATATAACTCGTTCCACTTAAATGTTTAAAAAAAAACCTTACTCCGGGCAAAAAATAAGTAGCAAGAGCTCAGTAAGTTCTGTGTGATCTGAACATGAATCCAGGTGAGCGCTCCTAGCCGGAGTGCATCGTTATACACGCGTCAGGTTCAGTTCATTCACTGACAGGCGTTGACTGAACATGAACTAGGTGCATGAGACAAACCGTACTTTCAAAAGCACATATGTGCGAAAGAAAACGACAACACGCCGATTTCAGGACAGTCCAGTTCAATGCAGGGTTTAAACAAAACAAGGCAAAAAATCCCATGACAGGCATTGTCCTCAGCCCTGGCTGAGGCACTGGAGAGCAAGAGGTGAATTTTAACTTGGGAGACGCAGGAGAGCTTCCCTAAGGACATGAACTATGACCTGAGGTTTTAAAAATACCTCTAGTGTTACCAGTTGAAGGAGAAGTGGACGATAATGTCAGACACAGAGAACAGAGGATGAGACTGCATGACGAGGCATATTTTCAGTGCAGATGCGGGCAGCTCGTGCACGGCGAAGGGGTGTGCAGTGGAGCTGCCAGAGTAAGACCGCATTACCTTAAAGAGTACCTGCCTTACAGGTTAAGAATGTGATGTTTCCCATACTGGGAATGAAGAATCAATGTGTTTTGTTTTGCTTTCATTGAAGCGTGCCAATATGTTTTTAATTGTAAGTATACATGGATATTAAAAATATCCATTTTAGGAAGAAGTGGTTATTTTGATGTGAGTTACCAGTCTGTTATAGGAGGAGTCGCAGGGAAGATGGGAAAAGGTGTATTTAAGAAACATTTCTGACATAGCTGATTCAATATTGAGGAAAAGGAAGACAGGAAATTTGGGGATAGAGTAGGTTTGTTGCAAAATTGTGCAATTACTGTCAATGAGAAGAAAAAAACTTACCTGGTAAAACTCAGGTAAAATTGTATATTAATTTCAGAAATGACATATCAAATTTATACCATCCACACTGAAAACTGTGGATCATTAATGCATGTTATCCTTCAAGATAGCAATTAGGGATGCTCTCAGATGGGCTGTATTCTAAAACATGTACACAGGGCCCCTCAGAAGCGTGCCCCTTCCTCTAGAACCTGGGGAAGCGAAATGAACCGGCGGACCGGCAGGTGGGTGATGGCAATGCGGAGGTCCTGACCCATACTTAAGGCAGTGTGTATGTCCGGTGTTTCTTAGAGATGGGAATGTTTAAAGCGATCTTAACTTGTATCTTGTTCCAATATATTTACTTATTTTCAGATTTTGATCTGCCATTTTAGAAAGCCTAGAAATAACTCACCAACCAGAGACATAGCATCTTATAATGCTTGACAGGAGAGATTCTAGACCCAAATTTCTGGGTTCAAATAGATCCTCTGTTATGTATTAGCTGTGTGATTTACAGCAACTGACATATACTTTCTTTGCTGAAATTTTTTCAATGTAAAACAGAATGGACAGTAGCCAGTACTATCATTCACAGAGTACTGGAAATACATTGAGGAATAAATAATAATTAAAAATAACACTAATAGTGCCTTTAGCAAAGGCTAGGTATGCATCTGAACATTTTTATATATTATCTCATTATTTCATTTAAAATGCCCTGCAGACTATATATACTGTCGCCCTGTTTACAGATGAAGAAATCATCGCACAGAGAGGTGGGACTTGCTAAGGCAAGCAGCCAGCATCTGGCAGACTCTGACATCCGTCAGGGTCCGCTGTCTCCTGCAACCACTTTATTTCTTGATTTTAATCACGGGAAATTTCACAAAAAGCATCATAGATAGATGAGCTGGTGCATGGGGTCTGGCTCTGACTGAGTGCCAGCAAACCTAGCTCCTGCTTCCATCACAACTGTTTCGACTGTCACTTAATGGTGAGTCTTGAGAGAACAAATGCAGGCATCTGAAGTGCCTTACGTACACACAACACCTGGTACACATATATACGCATCTTCTCGTCAGAACAACATGCACTCGTTTAGAAAAATACCTATCGCAGCACCTTGTTACTGTAACATTCTCTGTTTTGTTTATTATTTATCTGCTTTATAGTCTGGCTTAGTAGTTTATGAACTCCTTAAGAGAAGAAAGTTTGTCTCCTTTGTTTCTGTTCTACACCCACTCACTGTCAAAGAGCTGGACACATCACAGGAAACTCAGTGCATATTTATGATAAACAAAGGTGAACACAATGCAAATACAAAGAAAAGAATCATTCTTCCTCCTGAGTCAATTGCACCGCCTATCACAAAGGCATTACAATGAGAAGAACATTTTGCATTATTTGTCTGTAACCATTAGCAAAGTTCCAGCCAGATCCGCAGCTAATGAATGTGTGGGTGAAGGAGAAGGTAAGCAGGTTTTTCAGGCCCATTTAATGGTGCCACTGCCTTTCTCCCTGGTTCTCCTACCTGCTTTGTCTCAAGAGTAGCAAAAAGGCAAATACATTCCCTGGAGTTACAGCCAAGAAGCATGTCAGCTCCAGAAAACGGAAATACCTGCTAATAATGGAGGATTTCCTGGTTTGGAGGAAGGGTATTTGAATCTAAACATGTAGTTTTTCTTTCTCCGAAGGAAAACTAAAATATTTATACTACTACATTGTGCATATAAGATGCCACCTACTCACCTTCACAGACCATTGTTTTATTCCTACTCCTTGAGATAATACCACCAAGTCATTTTCTCCCCGTTATGTTCTAGAAGGGAGTACTGTTACGTCTATTTTACTCTCTGAAACTAGACTAGCTCTCCAAGTTTTCTAACACAGAAACATAATATAAAGGAACATGAAAAGAGTATATAAAAAGAGTGTAGATACCTATGATTTATTAGTGGAAGCAATTTTCTTATATAGAGACCTTTGGAGAAATGAGCGCAAGAAAAAAGATATAAAACCTTCTTCAATGTCATTTTTTTGGTAAGATGTACTTTCTTGGTACTGATTTTTAACCTAAAATGTCATTGTTATCAGATTTATAAATAGTTTAGGATTGTATCCTTTTTACATGATTGGAAAAGTTGCTATCATTTTTATCACATTTTTATCACATTTTTATCACATGTTTAAATAGAATTTGAACATATTGCTCAAATGAATGATGAAATTAATTTTAAATACTTCAGATATCTTCAGAGATGAACCTGAAGCATAGAAATATCCATGCAAAAATGATCAGATTTTTTTAAAACTGCAGAAATGACTCGATGTGTTGCAACAAGAAGTGAGTTGTGATGAGAGACAGGCAGGGAATGAAATTTTACTGTAGTGATATTTGTACAACTATGCCTCATTTACAAAATGAATATAATCTTCAAAACGCGGAAAATTATTTGAAAAAAAATCAAGTCTTTGTTTAAATCTATTAGCAAAGCACCATTTTAAGAGGAAAATGTGTGTGTGCTTGTGTGTGTGTGTCTGTTCAATGCTTGGTATCCGTCTGTCCAGAAGGGGCACAAAACAGCTTTAGAAACAAGCCCATAAATCTTTCCCTGTGCAATCAAGTCACGAATTTCAGATCCCAATCTCGAAAGTGTTTTTATATGGCTCATGCATGAAAGCACTTGCAGATTTACACTGACATAGAAGGGACACACCACCTTGATGGTGAGGACAGTGTTGGGAGATATTTTTAGAATTTCAGTCTCTAGACTACAAGCCACAGACTACAAGGCCAGGTATTGTTCCGTTTTGAACACTGGAATGTTTCAAGCGTCTAGGATATAGTGCTACCTAGTGAGGCTCAGTAAATACTTGTTGAATGAATGAGTGAATGGAAGTCTGAAAATAACCTGGCTGCTTATGTTTCAGATCATAAAAATTATCATGTAGCTAGTTGTAAGTTACTTGTCTGAAACAGGCAGTGGCAAAAGCCTAACACATCAGTTGCTTGGGCAGTGATAATGCCCTTCAATAAATTAGTTTACTATTAAGGACTAAATAGGTGATAGAAGAAAACATCAATCAAGGTTATAAATACTAAAGGAGAATTCCCAAATACCTTCTGTTTTATATACCTCCTTACTTAAACCATTGTATGATTTACAACACATTTCTTCATGGGATAGATAAGGCAATAATTGTTCTCTTATGAAGATTCATTTATGCATTCACTAAGCACTTAGTAAATGCTTTCTTTCAGCAGTATGCTAAGTAGTGGGAATATGATTGTGTATCCCATGGACAGTTTTTCTTGAGACAGAAACAAATTTTTTTTAAAAAAGTAAACACATCAATGAGCAAAATAGATTTGTCTTCTGATAAATGCTTTGAACAAAACAAATGGAGACTGGGAGTTTGAGAGTTGAACAAATCTATAGTTACAGTTCTCAGGAGAAGCAATTTTGAGGGGATAATACTTAAGCTGAGATCTCTAAGTTCCAAGTTCAACTTCAAAAGAGACTTTAACAGCTGGATAAAGTCTAATGTATCTCCAAAGGCAGGCGTGCATGCCATTGGGAGGAGAGAAGAAGAGAGGCTATCACTCCAGCGATGCACAATAATTAGTCAAGTTAGAAATGCTTACGTCCAATACTCAATGCCCGTTTACCAATGGAGAAACATTCCTGTTCTGTACAGTAGTTATTATGAAGCATCCCTGTTCTTTATATTATTCAACCAGTATAAAACAGAGAAACAGAATTTTGCTAATACCCAAACAAGTGGAGTATAATTTTATATGTTAAGTTTTGACTCTCTTTCTATTTTTTATTTGATTTCTTTATTTTATACGTGTTTCCCAGGATAGTCCACTGGTCTTACAGTCTGACAGGAATGTAACAGTGAATGCAAGAAATCACATGGGGCAGTTAACTGGACAGCTGACAGTAGGTGAGTGCTTTGGGATACAATTGTTTGTGCCCTCTTACTCCATGTAAAACTCTGCGGTTGTTTGAATTGGGAAAAGCAAATGTGCGTCATCTATCTAATGTATAACCAGACATCCCAGACAGACCACTTATCTCGCATACGATCTGCTTTACCACGAGACTAGTTCAAGTGCCCTCTGTTTGGTAGGTATTCCTGTTGTTGGTGTGTTATTATGGGACTGAATTAACATATATTGTGCTGCCTATTTATCCTTTATGTTAAACAAATCATTTACCAATAAATATTAATAGCAGCTTATATAAATCAGAAATAACATACTAGTTGAACATAATGGATCTTAAAATGTATGATTACTTATAAATTTAATGTGGAACTACTTGCAATGTAAGGCTTATAGGCTTCAGAAGTGATCAATGTAAGTTAATGATAAAGTATTAGTGTTTTATCACATTTTAAACATTTTTAGAGATTCATATTAAATAACATTATTGGTTGACTCAGTTTTTCTAAGAAGTTATTTGACTCAATTTTTGTAAGAAGAAAGGCAAATTAAAAGTCAGTTGTAATTATGTAAGGTAGCACAAAGATTTACTTGGAGTAATTGCTAAAATTCTAAAAATGAATACATTTTTTTCTGTGGGAAAATTGCCTACCACTTATTGGTATTTTGTGCTTGTGTATGTGTGTGCATGAAAGTATATTGCAAATGGTAAATTAAAATTTTGAAGACTGGGTTACCATTATCCTAATAAGTTTATCATCATTTGAATGCAGAGGTATGTTTCCAATATTTCTAATTAAACTACACAAAAATGTGACACTTAAAGGGTGAGATTAATGAACATGAGTTTGATTCTGTCTACTTCCTTTGTAAGTATATGAAATACTTTGTTGATATGTTTTTCATTTTAATGAATCCCAAAGTGGAACTTATATTTTAGCATATATTTCCAAAAATATATAGTTACATTTTACTTATAACAATTAAATTCTATTTTACATCTGTAAAGTGTAAGAGTTGGTCAATAGGTATCCATTATTACCATAACTGGAAAGTGTTTTAGGATACATAGATATATGTCAACTATGCAGGGGAGTGATACACGAATGTGTTTAAGATCAGAGAAAAGAAATGTGTCTGCGGATACAGAACTGCTTCAGAAGCACCAAGCACTCAGTGTGAATGACTAAGCCAATTCATTATTGTTATGTTGGAACTGCAGAAACAGGCCTGAACAGGCAAGTTTTCCATGTCATACTTTTTTTAAATTTTTTTATTGTTGTTCAGTTAAAGTTGTCCCCATGTTCCCCCATTGTTCTCCCCTCCCCTTCCCTCTGCCCACCTCCCACATTCAATTCTCCCCGCTGTCTTTGTCCATAGGTCCATGTCATAATTTTCTTAAAGTTGAGAGACTTTAGCTAGATAAAACTTTCTTTTATATTCTGTTCCTGATTTGAAAAAGAAAATGTCCCTAGTGGAAATGATGAAGTGTAAATTAAACCCAAAAATAACATATTCCAGTGTCCACTGTAATACAACAGCTAGATGACTACTGCTGATAGAGCAGAGCAGCTCAGTTATGTGGGGTGTAATCAAATGCCATTTGCATTTTGTCGTATGCTTTCCTGAAGGAAAGATAAAGAATAATAGTATCATGATTGTATTTCCAACCAGTTTTAAACTGATTTTACTTTTTTTTATTTCTTTTTTTAAAAAGATTTTATTTATTTATTTGTAGACAGAGAAGAAGGGAGTGAGAAAGAGAGGAAGAGAAACATCAATATGTGGTTGCTTCTCAGGTGCCCCTCCATGGGGGACCTGGCCTGCAACCCAGGCATGTGCCTAGACTGGGAATTGAACCAGTGACCCTTTGGTTTACAGGCTGGTGCTCAATCCACTGAGCCACACCAGCCAGGGCTAAACTGATTTTAATAGAGTATCAATATTTGCCAATTGAGAGAGAAAAAGAAGAACGAAGAAACAGACAGAAAGGATGGGTGGAGGGAGAAAGGTTATACTTAGTTTTAACTGAAGCAAATCAATAAGCTAATAATGCAATAGCTTATATTTGTGGATGGAAATATATTCAATCCATTGATGCTTATGTTAAAAACTGTTTAACATCCTAGTCACCAGGGTCTCCGGTTGGTGACCTCTATCTTTTTCTGGCTTGTAATTTTCAGTAAACACACAGAGAACGAAACAGCTGTAGAGAAAGGGGAGAGCAGCGCTAACAAAGTGTTCACCTCTGGAGTCAAACCATCTGGGATGCCAAAAAGTAATTTATCTCTTGGAGAGTCAGGTTTTTCATCCCTCAAACAGAAATAAGGACACTTACTTAGAATAACATTATAATAATCAGGGAAATTTCAGTATCTCAAATAGTAGACAATTATGTTTCCAATCTGTTATTATTTTGATGATGATTATAATAATTATATCACTTTAGTCAGAAATACATTACTACTTAGAAATCTCACAGTGCTTTTCTATCCAATGTATCTCTGTGATAGCTGAGGAATATATGTTGGATTACAATACCGTTGTGAAGACATACTACAAAACACATCACAGTAAATATATCTGATATGTAGAAGATTTTCAAATCATATCAGGATAAATATTTCTTTAAGTAGAAGTTGAAGAGATAATAGGACGAATTCAAGCAATATATTTAAAAGACTTTAATTTTAGTTGCATTGACATAAAGTAATTGTCTTAATCTTTTTTTCCTGCTGCTTTTTAATTTTTTTCAGTTTTTGTTTTGGAGCATAGTCTTGATTAAAATATAAGCATGATACTATTTTGCAATATTTAAAAATATACTTCCAAAAATGGAGTAATATTCGTGGAAAACAAGTGTATTTATTCATCAAGTAAGACTATTTAATTTCCACCCTGTATCTATCAATTTCCATTACAAAGCTTAACAGACTGCATTTTCTGCATCTTTCTGCATTTTGTTTGCATTATGTAAGGGAAAAGATGTTCCCTATCAGTAGTGAACTGTATCATTTTTTCCCAGAATTCTATATGTGTTTGGTCAGCAAAATAAATATCCATCCCCTTTGTATCTGGTCTTTCTAAGTTTTTCATACCAGCCTACTCTCCTGCTGATTCAGCTTGCCAGGGACTCGAGTAACTGAAGACCTACACGGACCCACTGCGTTAATTCCAAACCAGACTCATTCTGAGACTATAAACCGAGATTACTTCTAATCTAATAAATGCAAAGAAAAGGATTTTATACATATGACACATCACACAAAATTAAATATAAACTTTTTTAGATTTTTGGTTAAAAATCAATTGACAAATATTTATGTATGCTTATAAAATTCTAGGCTTTATGTTAAATTTCTGTTGATACCACAATAACCCTTCTCCCCATGACATCTAAGATTCCAATTTTTCATAAGAGATTAATGAACTCAAGATTTATTTATACAAATTTTTCTTCTTAGAATAAAACTGAAAGAGAGGAATGAGATTGTTGTAGAGAAGTGGTTAAAGAAAATACACAGTCCCAAGAGGTCAGATTTCTTAAAGAAAAAAAACTAGAAGTTTCTTAAGTACACGTCAGAATTATTATCCAGGTCAAAATTTCTATTTTTTAATCAATAATGTCTGTGTTAACAGGTCATTCCTTTTTCACAGACAAAAATTGTGTGTGAATGTAGGTGTTATATGTTCATATGTCTTGATAGCTTACTTTATATTTTTAGGGCAATTTCATCAAATAACATGGATAAAATGTCAATTATACACCATTTTTTGTGAAGCTTATCATATTCTCTTAGGAAACTACTACAATGTGACATACAGAATAAAAATAATTTTCTTAAGGCAGTGCATATGAAATATGTAGTTTTGATATGCACTTTTTTCACAAAACTGATAATACTAATAATTAAATCTGTAGTAATTTGAGTTGCTAATTTATGGTGCCCTTTCCCACAATATCACTGGGGTAATTATCTTTTATTTGTCAATAACATTACATTGATCTGTAATAGAAAAGACAAACTATTATAAGTAGTTTTAAAAACTGTAAATGTTAATTTCATCAAAATGATTGCCCTTCCACATCCCTCAGCCCACTTGGAAAAGAAATTACATGGTCTTATTCTTACACTGCATCGTAAACTATTGTTTCTTTTTGATAAAGTAATGGCTAAAAAGTAATAAGATTTTTCCCCTCTCCTACATCTTTTGTTATCAGTCTACAGCAGGAAAATAGAAATAAAAGGAGGAGAAACTGAAAGGTTGCCCATGGACTAATATTAATGAATAAAGATAGCTTTGTATTTAATTATTTTGGTTTAGTAGCATCCTTCATTTAAATTTCAGTCACAGTGTTGAGTGAGCAACCCAGAACGATTGCTCTGGTCTGGTCTTGTAAGGAAGATAAGCTTCTTGGTGCCACATCTGCAGCATTATCCCGGTAAAACATTAAGACTAATTGGGTATTGAATAATTAGAATGCCATCGTTCTGAAATTTTACATTTAAAATGTACTTAAAGTCACAATCTTATGCTTCAAATGCAGTCTCATATTTCATCCTAACTCTCCTGGTTTTAATGCTCCATAAATTTGGAAAAACGAACTAACTCCTAGGAATTGCTAGCTGTTGTTGTCAGAATCATTTGCTCGTTGTTGATATTCTCATTTTCATTTGTCAAGTATCACTGACATAATCAAGTTATATAAAAATCTCAATTACAATCTATAATGACTCATTTGTGTGTCTTCACTAAGTCTTCAATGCTACAAATTTCTTCAAACTAATTCTGAAATAAATCCATATGACAATAAGAAAGAATGCCACTGGCCAAAACATTAAACACAGTGATATTTGCATTTACTACCAGTTTTCATGTCACACTTCCCATTCTGAGAACTAAGCCTCACATAATACTGCACACAGGAAGAGACAGCTTCTGCAGGAGAGTCAGCTCCTGGGTTTCTTCTGAGGTCTGCAGAGCTGCCCCCATTGCC